TATACAATTTAGCAAAATTAAATAAATGCGCTTCTTACACAGTTAAAACCAACGCCAAGAATAACCATTTTTCCGATATATCGATACTAAGCCATATCGATCTTTTGCCAAAATTCGAAAATATCGATTATAACGATTCCGATCCGATATTTTTGCAGCACTACTTTCAAATCATCAAGCTCAACAGCGCACAAAAACTGAAGTTTGTTCGCGACGATCCCAGCTCTTTCCTTTTGAGTGAAGAGTATACCGAAATATTAAAAACATTTGCCATGCTCATGCAAAATGTTTGAGTTTTCATTATTATTTGTGGGAAGGCTATGAAAGCGTTTGTGCGCATAATGAAAATGTTTTCGTGTCGAGCATGCACACACACATTGTCCCTTGCTACATGTACTATGAGCACTTGTGTGTGTGTTTTATTAATAAAAAGTTATTAAACACTACCTAACTCTCATGCTCATGCCAAATGTTTGCGTTTTGCTTAATAACTTTTCTAGTTGTTCATGAAGCTTTTAGATTGTGATTGCATCATTAAATTGCTTGGCTGTGCCAAAGAACAATTGACTAGTGTTTGAAATACGCCTTATACAAACCTATCGGTGACGAAATGGATATAAGGTTAGGAGCGAATTATAACAAACTTCGAAATTCTATAACATACATATGAATTTACATATACAAATTTACCGACTCTAGCTGTAAAGATGTTGGAGATATAATTAAAAAGCTTACTTTCAATATGTTCTTAATGGAGTAAAAAAAAAAGAAAAAAAAAAGGGAAGAGCTATCGATATTTGGATATCCGCGCTAAATATTCGGACATTTAAAAAATTCAAGTCTCTAGCTCTGATATCTTCTGAGATCGACAGGAACAGACGGAAAGACGGATGGACATAAAAACGGACAGGGCTAAATCGATGATTTGTGATTTTCCATTTTTAATGGGCTTAGGGCCTGCTGCATCGTTGTATTACAGTCGTTGTATTTACAGTCCAGAATCAATATAGAGTTTACAGTCCATTAGGAATATATTCTCGAGTTTACAGTGCAGGCTTATCTAGATATTGCGGATCTGGCTACGGTGGGCTGTAAATGAGTATTCTGCAGTCGGTAACGCCGGACTTCTACGTTCTTATTTGTTTTATATGTAACATACCATATATTGATTATTTGTAGGTTTCTTGGATACGGAGAAAAGACTTCCAGTTGCTCACTGTCGGCTTATCAACACATAGCAGTGACAAACGATTTTTAGTTGAGCATACTCGTCACATGGGCCATTGGTCGCTGAGAATTAAGGCCGTCAGGGAAGACGACAAGGGATTGTATGAATGTCAATTGTCGATTTACCCTACACAATCAATTTTTATTGAATTGAAAATAGTTGGTAAGTCTCTATTAATAAGCAAATATCGCAAATAAAACTTAGGTTTTTTATTTACAGAAGCAGTTGCGGAAATATCCAATACTTCTGATATTCTTATTGATGAAGCTTCCACTCTTCAGCTGCAATGTAAGCTTAAGGGTGCTACAGAAAACCCATCTTTCGTATTTTGGTAAGCTTTAATAATAACAGTTAAAAAGTAAAAATTTATATACATACAGATAAATGGCAATCACATGAATTCACTTTTTATACCCTGAAATCATTTTCAATGGGAAATCAGGGTATAATGGTTTTGTTAAATGTATGTAACAGGCAGAAGGAGGCGTGGCAGATCCCATAAAGTATATATATTCTTGATCAGGGCGAGCTGAGTTGATTTAGCCCTGTCCGTCTGTCCGTATGGTTGAACGCGTGGATCTCAGAAGATATAAAAGCTAGAGACTTGAAATTTTTTTCCTAGGTCCGTGTATAGCACGCGCATATCGAGTTTTGCTTTAAATATCGATAAATTGCCCCGTTATTTTGTTATCGATCAAAAACGTTATCGAAACCCAGTAATAAAATTATATCTCATACATCTTTAAAGCTAGAGTCTCCAAGTATCCTTTTTACTTATATGCATTTTATACAATTTCGGTTTTTGTCAAAATTTACCCCCTACCCCTAATTCACCCCCTCATCCTCACATTTCTAAAAGGCGTATTTAAAATACTAGAGACTTGTGCTTTGGCAAATACATACATATCCAGGATATAATCACAATCTGAAAGTTTCATGAAGAAACTACATCCACAAGAAAAGTTATTGAACAATTAAGTTCCCTTAGTAAGCAACAGCCACTGCAGCCAATGCGTGTTTATGCGTGCGTGCGTATCTCTGTGTGTGTTTGTGTGTGATGTGTGTGTATATGCCTGTGTGTGTATGAGTGTGTGTGTG